CATGACAATAAATATAAGGAGACATAATCTTTAACAGAAGTCCAGTCATCCCCAGTCATGATTTTAAGACAGAAGGAGGTCGTGGCGTTCTCAACATGCCGAAGTGTGTGGGTCCTAGTTGTTCTGTTGAGTGTGACCTTGCAAGGTATGTCTGTTTAGGAGGCAAGTGAAGCAGAATGACCACTCCCATGAATATCAACAACACACCAAAGATAGCAGCCAGGGCTAGTTAAACAAGGGGGTTCAGCTAAAGGCGGAAGAACAAGTATGGAAAGATAAAGCGATCCCCCAGTGCAGATGGTATGACAGGAAATCCGAAATTGGGCCACATATATATGAGAAAATAGTAAGTGAAATGATAGCACGTCAAATCACTAGATTAGAATGAACCTTTAAAACTTTTATTTATTTACATTTTGTCTGTATGAGTATTTGTATTTAGGAATTATGCCATATGTGTGCCTGAGGCCCACAAACGGCTGAAGGTGGTATCACATCCCCTAGAACTAGAGTTTACAGGCCACTGTGAGTAAGAGAGAATGACTTTGACTTTCTAAACTATAGACATTTAACGTTGACTTTTTAAAGTATATAAGCATCTCCCAGTGCCAACACAAGTGCTGCCAGCCATGGAGTACAAAGCACCGAAAATGGAATAGCACACTAACAAATTGTGTATATAATTTTCATAATTGATTTAGGCACAAATTTAGGTTTGTTACTGTTGGAAAAGTTATAAGTAAGAAATGTTTTGGACTGGAATCAGAGAAACTTCTTTAAACTCATATGAGTGTGTGTGTGTGTGTATCTGTGTGTGTGTGTGTGTGTGTGTGTGTGTGCATATAAATATCAGCATATAAGCTCATGTAAAACATGGGATAGGATATGCTTCTGTTCGATGGGGAGCTAGCATTAGCATTAGTAATGGCAAGCCACCCTGACCCTCAAATCGTAGAGTATAGCCCTCCGGCATCAGGGCCCAGGACTTCTAAAAGTGGCTGATGGGTCCCAGGACTGGGGTGCGACAAACACAAGATGATCCTGAAGCCTCTGGTAGTCCTAATAATAAGGACACACTCAGTGAAGAGAGGGGAGCTGTCAGAGCACACAAGGATTGGCTGGACAGAGCTTTAAGATGAATTACTAGGAGAAAAGTTTAGGTCCATGTGATGGTGCCTGCCCTTTAAGCTGGGTGTTAACAGGTAATGCCAGCCTACCTACAGTCACAGTAAAGGAAACAGACGGGATTCCCCAAGCAGGCTCTGTACAAGTGAGATGTAGGTGGAGAGCTGTCAAGGAGGACACCTCTTTCGTCCACACACATGCCAATTCTTTACATTAAAAATAAAACCCTTAATGAGTGAAGACCTCAAATTCTGAAGAATCTTACCCATTCCTCAAGTCAGTTCACACCCATTCCTTAAGATGGTTAAAGCCAACAGTCAGGCTCATACAGAGCCATTTCCCGTGCTCATGTCCAAGTCCACGGAAGAACTGAGCACACCAGAGAACCCTTCGCTTTTGCCACGGCAGGCAGCACTGTAGCAGGGGTGGTTCGTCACCTTTTGTGTCCTGTTCCTTAGATGCAAGATGTGCTCCTTCCCTCAGCGAACAAGAGGACCGCACAAGGACACAGCTTTCCTCCGACTGAAATCTATTAACACATGGACGTCAAAGGGGAAAAACAGTCACCATTAGCAGACACCCTTGTGGTAAATAGGCAGGATTTTCTAATAGATGCTGGAATGAGCAGGTGAGAGCTTCGGGAGATGTGGGGAAAGGAATACCCACATCTGAAGTGAACCCCAGCTAGAGCGTGTCATCAACATGATCACCAGAAAAGAAATGGGCCAGTGTCCCAGCCCCATGATAGGAGGGCTTAGGATACAGTGTTTCCCACCCGTCCCAAATTGCATGGCCTCGTTTTTCAGCGATGAAAATGTGTTACACAAGTCTGACTGGGGAACATCATACAAAATAGCTCAATAGTACACTTCCAAAGTGTCAAGATTACAGGGCATCAGGAAAGACGGAGGGACAGTAAGGGCACAATAGCTAAAAGCAACCTAGGATGATCCTAGACCAGGACATTTCGTGGGAAACATGATTATGTTGTAGTTACATAAGGTGCCTACGTGAGGGGAGGTAGAGGACCGATGGATGGTGACAGTGTTCTGTGTGCGTAGCTTCGCTCCCAGGTGTTTCAACCAAGCAAAAGTAGGAACCACAGGAACTCACTGCTGCTCACTTTGGATTGTTACACAAAAATGTTTTCCCAGCTATTAATAGATGTATAGTGGTGGGATTCCTTGTCATTTACCATGGTGTTGTCCACTGTATTTTTCCCATTGTGCTTACATCATTGCATAGAAGAGGGTAAAACATGGGGCTTAACAGAGGGAACACTTCTTGGTTTTAATTTTGGTTGAAATTGAATTATGGATGTTAGAGTTCCCCCAAGGTTGATTTGTTTCCTTTACATGGTCATGTCCTCCTCTGAAATAATTACCAAGCTCTGAAAAGTTTGACTTAAAATCAGTATATATAAACCCCCATAGATTTTAAGGTATTTATCTAATTGATTTCTTTCATCAAAGGACTCTGGTTTTCCTCCTCTGGACTGTGGACACAGTGAGTTCCTCTGTGTTAAATTTCACACATGTTTTTGGATCATCTGCTGTAACAGTAGCTCTACCTGTATGCACACAGGATGTTATTCCTCAGTAATTACAGTTACATAATAGTTATGAACTGGCTGAAAGAGTGTGTGGATGAAAGGGGGAGACGGAAGTAGCTTGGATGTATTTGCTGAAGGGTGGGTTTAGTGCGAGTACTCCATTACTGCTTTGAGGGGCTGCACCCTTCCATGGCACCGGGCAGTCCACAGCAGTGCTTGGCTGTGACGACGCTTTATGCACGGCGGGATGGGTTTCCTGCAGTCTTTTCATCTTTGCTTGGTGCATTGTCTGGGAGAGCAGTGCCTCGGGCGTGCATGGTGGAAGCCGTACTGGCCTGTGTTGACACAGAATGGCTGTTTGTTTTCTCTGTGAGCCTGTGAATCCAGCCTGTCATGCAGAAGCAAGCATTACGGTGTAAGCACTCACTGTCTTTCGGCAACTCATTCCCCAGGGACACTTCTGAAAGTCTGAGTTTGGCTGCAGAGCACTTTAAATTTCTAAATGGAATAGATTGGGGCCATGGGATATTTCATTTCATAGGAGACATGTAATCCACAGTATCTACAAAGCAAGTTTTGTGGATCTATAGCCATGTCAGTGACCAGCATTTGCCCTTGAAGTTATTTTAGACCAGAATGCTAAATGTTTTTACTGTACAGTTAAATATTTGGTATTAATTTGACTGCAGGTGTATAAGATGAAGCCAAGTGGAGCACAGCATGCTGTTTGTCAGGACTTCTGTGCTACTGGTTATGCACATCTAGTGATTCTTCGTCGCTCAAGGTGTCTCCTGATTGTGACAGAGTAACACTTAGAAATATTTACCAACTTTTATATTATCCTCTAAAAGTGGGGTGCCCAAGCCCCCCACCAACAAAGAACTTGAGGATTGTTTTACAGTGGCCCTTTCACAGCCATGGCCTTCTACCTACAGTGAAGGCTGCCTCTTGCTGTCCTGTGCAGCCATTACTAGAGGTACTCATGAGTGGCAGTCCACAGACCCAGTACTGATGTATGCAAGCATGTCACAGGACCGTCACCCAGTGGGTCAAATGGGTGGCAGTCTTGATGCCACCAGTCTCTGTCTCTACTCAGCGGTGATTCTTGTTGGTACTCTTTTTAGCTAGGAGAGAAGAGTTCCTGTGGGATCAAAGTGGTTAGGTTAAGCTGCTGTGGTCACGTGACTACCACCAGACGTGGTAGTTGTATGTGTGTGGGTGTGGGGAAGTTGTGTGTGTGCGCTTAGGGGTGTCTCTTTTATAGTCATTGTAACCAAGGGAGATAGTAGGGCATGAAGTAGCGATACCCTCATGCCAGGACTGCTTGGGCCTTGAGGATGGTGTTAAATTCATACTTGTTAGTTCTGCCAGACCTTCAGCCTTGGGAAATGCATCTAAACCTCTGGTCCTAGAAATGAGCTAATATTGTCAAGTACATTGGATAAAATTTCAGAATTATGCCTCAAGCCTTCCCATGATCATGACTCTCTTTTATTAATAAGTGTCTTCTCCTTTATTTTGTATTATTAGATTATGAGTTATTGTATATTCTTCATGCTAAGAAAAGTATTCAGGGAATGAAAAGACATGATTCTCATCTCAAGAAATTCACATTATATGTGAAAATGAATTGAGTAAATATTAAACAGCTGGGAACTAAGTAGATGTTGTTGCTGTATCAGCAACGAAAATCAGAAGTTGCAGCATCCCCTCTCTAGTGCTAATGTACCTGCTGCTTTGTGCTGCTTAGTGGAGGCCCCTAAGTTTAGGCGAATCTCTGGCGTTACTATATTGACATCACCGGTGAGTGAATGCCAGCTCTTTTCCATTTCCGTCCTGAGGGATGAGTTCAGGCTCCAAGGGCGAAGTTTAGCTGGCAGTCTTGGTTTTGTGGACTGGGGGAATGCAGCCATGGTTGATTGCTCCATGAGTCTGATCATTCGTTCTGCAGCAGTTTCTTGGTTTTTTTGTTTGTTTTTTGTTTTGGTTTGGGTTTTGGTTTTTAAGACAGGCTTTCTCTTGTGTAGCCAGGGCTCTGTACACCAGGCTGGCCTCAAACTCAAAGAGATCCACCTGCTCCTGCGTCCCAGGTGCCGGAACTACAGCCGTGCACCACTGCTCCCAGCCTGTTTAATTGCTTTTTTAAAGCGTGTCTTTTGGAAAATATCTTTATCGTCTTCATTTTGCAGGGAAAATGCAGTATTATGCTGTTTTAGCTTTCTTCTCTGTGTCTTTTGTGATCATAAAACTGAGCTGTAACTATGCCTTGTTTTTTGCGGTTGCACTGTTAATCTAAATCCCCTTTCCCTCCTGTGTTTTATAGGCAGCCAGATGCCTCCTCAACCACCTGGGAGCCAGTCAGAATCCAGTTCCCACCCTGCCTTGAGCCAGTCACCAATGCCACAGGAAAGAGGTGAGTTTCAGGACACATTCCCATTGTAGACAAGGCACATAAGGTCGCTTACCCACGTAGCTCTTCATAATGTTTAAAATGATAGGATTTTGTACAAATGAGCCAAGCTGACGTGTAACAGCCCTTAGGAAGAGGAAGGTTATTTTTGTAGATTGGGTGACATTTGACTGAGGGCAACTCAAGACTGTAAGAATGGGTGTTCACAAAGCACCACAAAACGTTACCTGCACAGGCCCATCTCATCTCACATTCCTTCTGACAAGTTGGAGTCTGCATTTGTGTGTGTGTGGAGGAAGATTGCTCTGACCCGTCATTCGTTCCTGTGCTGTTCACAAGCAAACTTTAAGCATAGAACATGATCCTGCGTAAAACTGTAAGGTCTTCAGACTAGAGTCAGCCTGAAAGACCACATATTTTGCTCCCCAAGGGAGGCCGTAGAGTTCATATTGAGTCCCTCATTAGAGGCGCAGTGGCATCTGGGTCAGAAGAAGAGAGTGTGCTTCCCTGATGCCTTCGAACAGATGTCGTCCCACATTTACAAACTGCATGGCTTTCCTGGGTGCTGAGTGTCACTGCATGGTGCATTCGTAACGCCTGGTGTCCATTAGGCTTACCCCTCAGTCCTTCTGTTCTTGGTGGGAAAGTACACTTGCTGCTGGGGCAGAGGTAGGGAAAGGCGATTTAACCCAGATTAGTGTAGAGAGGAGCTGTGCTCTGCTCTGCTCTGCTCTGCTCTGCTCTGCTCTGCTCTGCTCTG